AATCAGCCATAACATTATGACCACCTTATTTTTATCGAGTGCTTCTTGTTTACATGGTTTTGAGCGTTGTGTGTAGAAGAACAACTGGGCTGGTTCTGGTGGTTCTGGAACCAGGAAGTTAGTTGTAAATTGTTTGTAAAGAGCATGCTGGGGTCTGTGGACAGTCAGTACTCCCACAGACACCAGCAGATGGTTGTCCAGTGAGATTGATGGGTCAAAATTTGATCCACATAAATGATGAATCTTTTATTATTATTATTATTATTATTATTATTATTATTATTATTATTCGTTTACATAATAATAAAAATAATGAGTTAAGATGAAAACACAAAAATAGGCCAGTATTGTCTTTTCCTCACCAATTCTATGGAACATTTCATATTCTTGTGCTGCCATCTAGTGGACAGACCGTGTAAGCACATTCTGTTTCCTTCTTTAGTCCTTAAAAGCAGCATTAATTGTGTACATGTTGCAACACAACAGGTTGTTGTCTTTTATTTTAAAGGATGGAAGTCCAGCTGGGTGTGAATACATCAGGCTACAGAGATTATTAATTCTTCTTTCAAAAAGTTTTTTATATTTTATCTTTAAGTGTTAAAACAAAATGTGGTACCACTTTACAATGAGGCTCCCCTTATAGATGGCTTTTAAAGAGTTTATAGGTTATTAATTCATCTGTTAACACTTTATAAATTAATAAGTGTTTATTATGCCTTACTATATACTACAATGTAAGTGCAATAATGATTAGGAAACATATTTTAACATATTGTACTTTAGTACTGCATTATAAATATCCACAAACAAATAAGGGATCCTTATTGTAAAGTGTAAAATTGTACACTGTTTTGGATGGGGTGGGATTACTTGGTGTGTTAAAATTATTATTATTTTTTACTTTTTGATACATCATTGTTGACAGTAGTTTCATGTTTGAACAATAATTTCAAATATTGATCATCAACAGAAAGTTTTTAAAAAGATGATTTTTCACATTAAAGACATATTTTGGCATTTATAAATATTTATTTGTCATTAATATTACTATGTTAAAATATGTGTTTCTTATCGTTGTGCTTACAATGTAGTAAGTTAGTCTGAAATGTTTAATACAGCACCTTTTGTCTCATTATTTGGTAAGAAACTGGACAGTTTTGTCTTTTTCTCATCCTTAATTATTGCATAATAAACATTTATTAATGATTTATAAAGTGTTTACAGATGAATGAGTAACTTAATTATAAATGCTTTATAAGCCATAAAGGGAGCCTTATTGTAAAGTGGTACGCAAAATGTACTAATGAAGGATGACCACGTTTTATTATTGTTGAAACAAAGTTTGATGTATTTAATTTCCCTGATGAACACTCCGTAAAGAAAATACTTTAATCTGAAATTCCTTAAAAGTCTTTCAACATTATTTTAAACTTAAACAAATTAAATGAATTATTGTCTCATTTGAATCTAACAATCTTTTTTTTTTTACTTCAGTCATGATAATTGTAATTATCTGGTCATTAAACTTCAAATACACAAAAATTAAAATATTTTTAATCAAAATATTTTCATATCTTGTTACTGCACAATAAAAAAAGTGATATTCAGCCAAACTGTATGAGCCTGAAGTAAAAAGTCCCAACTATGAGCATTATTTGGTGGAGACTGCGAAACGTCTGTGCTAACCCTGTTACATAGATTTTGACAATAAAGTAAACTTGAACTTGGCAGCTGTAGCATTAAAAATGAATATTTTAGACAAAATATAAGCCAGCATGTCCATTTATATTTGGACAGATGTCTATCATGATCAAACATCTGGACAAATCAAGTACAGACTCATTTCAGCACAGAAATTTCACTGAGAGCTCAAATGAAAGAAAAAAAAATACTTGACTCATTTAGTTTATCATCATTTACTCCCAATATGATTAAAATACATTAAATTATCAATAATCCACATCTAAAATCACAGCTGGTGTCCTGCTGTGAGGACTACTCCATCAAACACAACAAAAGCAACATTTCTTCTTTTCAAAAGAAAAACAAATAGTCAGAAAGTTCATATAAAGTATATAAAG